GGAGATCCTGAAAGAAGTTGGGCAAGGGAGTGGTTTGGCTTCATTGAAATTGCACAGAACAAAATGTTCAAAAATCATAACAAAGGTTGTGGGCCCTTGTATGCTTGCTGAATTAATCCAGGACATAGGTGACAGTTGGTTTTCCCTAATCGTCGACGAAACAACCGACAACACAACCATCAAGCATATGGCTGTTCTCATTAAATACTACAGTGAAAGCCAGGGAAAGTACATTGTAGATTTCCTATGCATTTTAGGCACCCCAAAAACAACACATGATGTGTTGTATAATGTTTTGGTTGAGTTTATGGACAAAGTCGGGCTGCGCAAGGACAGACTCATGGCTCTCGGAACCGACGGCGCAGCAAACTTGTGCGGCCCTCACCATTCCCTGTTTTCGCTGCTCAAGAAGGACTGTCCGAATCTGCATCTCGTCAAGTGCATTTGCCATGGCCTGTACAAGTGCTCCAGCAAGGCCAGCGCTGCACTACCCGGTTCTCTCGAGGCGCTGCTCAGGGACTCGAGAAATTGGTTTCGGAACAGTGCATGCCGAAAGTATGAGTACCAACAAGAGTATCAAGTAAGTAATAATGCTTTTTCAGTTTTAATTTTAATTACTATCGGTCTTAACTGTACGTATGTTCGGAATCGGTAACAGTGTGCGCGTTTTCTTTTCAGGCTCTTACTCAGTATGGCGCTGACCCCCCTAAACTAGTCAAAATAGGGGACACGCGGTGGCTATCGTGGCACAGCGCGGTGAGGGCGCACACGGAGCAGTATGACTTCCTGGCCAGGCATTTTAAGTCAATTGCAGATAAGGACCCCCAAAAGAAGATGCCACTCGCGCACACCTTGGCTGCATATCACAGTGATAGGTCTCACCTGCTGTACTTGACATTCCTGAGACCCATACTAAAGGAGGCTGTGCAGATGAACACAACATTCCAGCAATCTTTGGGAGATTTCTCCTCGGTGTACATAGACCTTAAGAAGTATGTAAACAGTTTAGCTGCACGGATCATAAAACCTCAAGCTCTAGTTCAATCACAACCAGGCACAATGCTACGCCTGTCCGAGCTTCAAGCTTTACGGTTGGCACTGCAGCGCCCGGGGGTCTTTAAGGAATTGAATATGATAGACTATGGAAGCAATTTCTACCAGACTGCAGTTTCTGTTAATCTTCCCCCCGAGAGGCTTGACGCTGTCAAGAAGCATTGCGCCGATTTTCTGTACAAAATACATCTGCGAGCTAGCGGACCGTCTGCCTTCCTGTATCGAAGCTGTTGAGCAGTTAAGATTCTTTTCACCCGAGCCCACGCTGAGGAAGCAAGGACGCCCTCAGTTTAATCAACTTCCAATGGATTTCCTGAGTATGTACTACTAATGTCCTATCCTACCCACGTAGTTGTATCGCAACGAATTGTTATTATGTTTTTAAATTTACAGAGGATCCTTGCTTTGACCGGGAGAATATCGAGTCTCAATGGCGTAAGTTGGGGCAGTACAGTCTGGATGACCTTTGCCCTGCTGAGACAAGTGTGCTGGAGGTAGCCGTTGACAAGTTCTGGACAGCCGTCTACAATATGCGGACTGGCGGCGGTCAGCGCGCCTTCGCCGACTTGGCTAGGTATGTCCTTGCCTGTCTCTGCCTTCCCCTCAGCAACGCCGCCGTCGAGCGCTTATTCAGTATCCTCACCGTTGTGAAGAACAAGCTTAGGAATAAAATGGGAATGGAGATGGTGGAGGCCATCCTCCGTGTGCGCTTTCATCTGCAAGTAAGATATTTTATTTATTTTATTTGACTAAATTTGCCCGCTTTTTACGGTTTGGGTATTTTTGCTTACTAGTGTGCTCTTTTACAGGCAAAGGGAATATGCTGCACGCAATTCGAGCCAACAGAAGAGATGTTGAGGCTGTTCAATGCAAAGAACATGTACGGCCCCAGGAGGGACAGGGACCGATCTGCTGCCGCTGCTGCATTCATGGACCTGGATGAGGGCTCTGTTGACGACCCGGAGGCCATGGGAGAGCCCGCCGAGGGTGAACCCACCGACGCTGAAACTGCTGCTGCTTGGGAAGATGCTCTGAATCTAGTTAATGAGGGTGACGAACATCAGCCGTTTTGCCTTTGAAATGATTCTGTGATTACCATTGCCATACTGACTTGACGACCTGACTGATTACTTTAATTAAGTATTATTTCCTAGTTGAAAGCACTGTGATTTTTGATACATTTTATTTAATGTTAACATATTTCCAAAGAGTGTTTCGTTCAATCGTTCAAATATAATGTTTCTAATATAATCTCTTGAAAAACCTATGTTGCGGCGACGGCGAACCCCATTTCCCTAACGCTGACCATTTTTTTTAAAATCAAATCGGCGATTTTTTGGCGCTTTTACTGAAAAGAGGCGGTTTTTAGGCGATTTGAGAGGGCGGCGATTTTTGACGATCTGAGCGCTCTCTGGGGGCGCGGCGGCGAGGCTAGAGTCTGGCAGCCCTGGCGCTGTTAGTCTCTCGTGAACCTTCGCGCGGTACGGACGGACTCGACGGACCCCGGGGATCCTCAGTGTGCGCGCATCTATATTTCAATACTGACTTTGTGAACGCGATTTGATTTGAATAGTCTCGCAGTGGTCCGTCGCTAGTCAACCGTTTTTTTTTCATAACTATCTTTTGTCCTCGAAGACGAACGTTTAGCTGAGAGGAACTGCGGCCTAACCGACTGGTGTTGACTCAAGCACACAGTTATAGTTTTTGTTTTTCAATCAAGCATTCCAGTAAGGTTGAAAAGAAGAAGTGTGCGGGAAACAACAAAGCGGAAATCACCTTGCAATATAGCATTCCGGCAAAGCTGAAATGCAAAAGAATGTAGGGAACAAGAAAACGGAAGTCCCATGTAAAAACATGGTGATCTCCGTTTTCTTCTTCCTCACATTCTTCTGCATTTTTGCTTTATATGAATGCTTTATAGGGTACTCCTGGGCTCGGCTAGACCGGAAGGAGAAGAACAAAAATCGTCGGGCCCGGGGAGGAACGGGGCAGGGTGGTGGCAGTACCCCGCTTCTCCCGACCGGGATAAAGTTGGCTAGAAAAATTTTCTGGCCAGAAAAATTTTCGACATCTATTTTTTCAAAAA